GAGTATCAAACAAGCTTACTTCAAATAGCTTTTATTGACACTAGGACAAGACTATAGCCAAAGAATTATACAAAACACAAAACAAAAGGAATTTTAACAATCCGTTTAAGACTATTTCACGCCAATCCAATGCTCGTATATCTATAATCAACAAAGTTCTGGAGCACAGTATTACTTCACGTTACTCATTGGATGCTTTCAGATACAAAAATGTATCAGGAATAACAACAATGGTTCCTTTTACTGAAATATTACTATTGACCTTTAAAAGTGTTGCCCTTTGGGTCAGTCCCACTGATGCTTTATGCCTTAGAATTTGATCTGCCTGGAAAGACAAATTACAGATAAACTTCTAGTACACTGAGCAAAAGGACTGTTTCTTATCATAGAAACAGACAGCAACATGAAATTCCCAAGAAAAAAATAAACATTTCAGCTGTTCATCTCTAGACCAAAAAGTCGCTGTTGTAAAAAAAGTGACAGTAAGTTTGCTTTGAAAGCTTTAGTTATGACTTTACTAAGTATTGCTTTATGCTTTCCTATTGCATCATAACGTGAAATTTTAAGCCAATCAAGGAATTTAAAATAGCAGTAAATTGAGCAGCAAGAGACATGAGTATGAACCTGTTCCCTTAACACATGATGTATACACCCTCCTGAAGCCAATAGACTGTATCCGCTACTGATAGTGCTCTGTCAGACAGACTTTTCTAGAAGCCAGAACTGGCACTTCATATCAGAAACAGGGATGTGTGGCCAAATTTAAATCTATATCTGTGCTTTCTTTACAGTTTCTGTGTGACTGAGTGCAAAGTTAAGGTTTCTTCTTTAGCTACCTCCTGGATCTTACCCAAAGCCTGTTAGAGAAGGGATTTCAGTGGTCTTTGAATCAGAGCATCCTACAGCTCTCCTACTGCAAACATGTATTGGCAGGCATACCATTGGGAATGGGTTAATGTGTGGAGGTCTTAGCACAGAATCACTCACTGCACAGTACCAGTGCCACTGGTTTAATGTGTCACTTGCCTTTAGACCATACACGTAGGAGAATGTCTTCCTTGTAAATTACCCAACTCACAATGTACTAATTAACATCTGAACAGTAGCATCTTTGATGGTGCAGAACAATTTATATTTTGCTATACACTATTCTAATAGGCTGAACCACAGAGCACGGCACTACAGCAGGATGAAGGACTGTGCATAAGAGATACAATTAACAGTTGCTGGCATGTCCTTTTTGGTCTTCACTCTCTCTAGTGTGTTATTTGCAAGAGACTAAAACCAAGCTAGTAACGGGATGTCATGGGACAAAAACCTTTTGGATCAAGTGAAAATATTACATTGTTAAAATCAAAATGGGTCCCTTTTGAGGTTAGAGAGGAATGTGAGTTTCACAATTTCTTTTTTTAACCATCAGCAGACAGCCAGCTAAATCGTACGCATACAATACCACTTCAGTTTGGATCTGTCACAAAAATGAAGCATTTAATTGCTGCTGGAAGTGACAAAGATAAGCTCTTCTTATTCCCACACCAAGGGCAGGGACATCTATCAGAAAAGACAGACTTCTTTTTGTTTTTGTTGTTGTTGTTTTCTATGTGCTACAAGATCGAGTTCAGTTACACATAAGAAAACAAAACAAGTTGCTTACCTGACAAAGTAAAAGGTTGAATGATAATTAAGAACCCAAACTCCTCCAAATCCAGGATGAAAAGCAGGTAGCAGAAACCTGATTTAAAAGAATTTTTTTTCCCAGCAGGTCCCCCCACCATGTACATATTCTGGTTTACCTCCATATGGAGTCTGTAAAAAACTAAAAAAAAAGTACAATGGTTCACAAAGCTCTATTGTGACCTTTTAAAATAAAACAACTGTGCGCTGCTATGCTTCTGAAAAGGCCACTATTGGGGAAAAAAAGGATGCTATCAGTCGTATTACAAAGTGTCTGCTGCGGGCTGATAGCTTATTGGGCAAATGAAGAGCATACACTTCAGGGCAGCACACCTGGCTACTGCTGCTTAGGATGAAAAATTGTACAGTGAGGTCCATGTCTGTATCCTTGTGGGATGGAGGGGGCATTTCCCAAAGAATAAATGCTCGCTGAGTGCCTCCTTGCCCCTGCAAGCTAATAGAAGTTAATTGCCTCACAACCATCTATGGTTTTGGAAAAGTTCCCTCTAATTCTTTGTCCCAGACACATTGCCCTGAAAGTGTCCTGCTGTCTGTCTACACAAATTAGTCAGTCTCTACATTCTTGTTCTCTACAGGACCTCTGGTGTTCTAATATTTCATCTCTGGTTATGACTTTCAGCTTTTTAGGGAGGCTGCACTTAGATAAGACACCAACTCAAATACCACATACTCTAGACAGGGATTCATTTTGCCACTTTCAACTGGCAGCATGTTGACTTTTTTGCAAAGAAAAGAAATAGCCATCTTTGTTTACATAACAGCTGTTTATATTTTCTTTTTCTGTAATGATGTTTACTTAAGATAGCTTAATGATTTTATTTTCCTTGCCTGAAATCAGTTACTTCATTTTCACTGAAAGCAAAATTAGGAAGGTACATAATTAAAAAAGGGACTAATTCTGTCTTTTTACACTGACAAAATTCCCATGAACTTTGATTACTCACTAGGAATTTTGCCTGAAAAAGGATCATATAATCAAGCACTTCATTGCTGTAGATTATATTAAAGGCAAACGAGCACATACAGAATTTCTGCACACAGAGTCTCAAAATGAAGTGCAAGACGCTCTTAAGTTCTGAGATTTACTGCTCTTCATTGATCTTACTCCAGCCCAGGTAAAAGCTTTAAGCTGGATGAAAATCATTCTTTTCTTGATATCCTGAGTCATATCTCTTTTTAGTTGTCAGTTTCTACTAATAATTTAATGACCTAAGAGTACAAAAAAAAATAAATAAAAGAATATAATAAAAACCCAACTGCACTTAACATTTAGTCCCTAAAGCTAGGGAAGAATATGAACTGAGCAAGCATGATAGTAGTACTTGCTGCTGAGGCATGTCTCATTCTGGAGGTTGGTGGCTTAGGGAAACCTTGATCCACAGGCAGAATCCAAATTCGTGCACACTTTCCCTATGAGGCAAAGATTCACTGCTAATGACAATGGCAGCCTGGAGTGGTAGTGCCTTGGGATGTCCTTCTGCCTGCTGACAGCCCCTGTGTCCCCAGCACCAGGCAAAGAATCACCCGGGTCTGAGGGCTCTCTGCCACCTCCTCAGCTTCAGCTTCCCCATGGAATCACACAAGGAACCACGATTTGCCCCATCTCATTTGTGCATTTCAGCTTTTTTTTTTCAAAGTAATCTAAGCTCAGATGTAGATATTTTGGCAGCCAGCTTGAAATATCTGGGACTGAATTTTCAGAGGTGTCAATCTCCCTAGCCTAAGCTGAGGTCTATGTGGGACATGAGACTGTGATGTCTCCTCAAAAACAGCTCCCATGCCTCTGAATTTGGACATTAGAAATGGAGAAATATGTAATTTGTACATCTTTCTGAAATTCTTGGAATTTGTTGTTGAATCCAGCTAAAACTGGGCACTTTTAAGAGCTTCTATGTGAATATTTCCCTGGAAGTATGTCTAAAATTGCTGGGAGAAATTTAACTGTAATCCATGGGGAGCTATTGATGGTAATAAAAATACTGTGAGAAGAAAACAGCAGCAAGTGAAACTGCCCTCTCAGAAAGCCCAGGTCTGCTTTGAAGGAAGTGTTGATATTCACCATAAGCCTCAATCATTTCCCAGAGGGCTATACGGTGCCTTGTAATGACATAATCAAAAAGTAATGGTGCTCTGGACTTAAAGGAAAGGGAAAAAAAAAAAAAAAGCAGGGCCTGATCCATCTCCTGTTGAAATCAAAGAGGATTTTGCTATTGACTTCAGCGAGAACAGAGTTCTGGACACAATCTGTGTGCAGTTTATTTGTACATTTGCTTATCCAAATGATCCCAACTTTAACCATAGCATGTCTGGATATCTGTCTGGGAGTATGCCTGCACAAATGCGTAAGTGTGAGTTTATAATGTGGTTTAATTCAAATTATTCCGGCATTTTAAAGGCAGTTCCAGCTACAAAGGATAGCTTTAGTTGATTTCCACTCCAGAATATAGACTTTAATTGGTAAAGTTTGTAAATCATATTTCAGGCTGCAACTCACATGCAGTTTCATGCGAGCTAAGGACACAAGCAGATTTTGCATTTGTGGGGTTAATTTCAAAATGCTCTTACTATGTGCCCAATTAAAATTTTGCAGCCACTATTTCAAGATGTGAAAAGCTCTACAAATCACCCAACTCATCAGCTATGGTCCTTGGTTTCCTTGAAGGGAAATTTCTTTGAAGACCACAAGAAAATCACAGTAAATGGCAAGTTAAGATTGCCATCACAAGTCTGCTGAAAATTCAGGATGAGATGAACTCCTGATTGCTTTAGTCATGTGAACAACCCCTTCAGAATAGCCCAAAGTCAGGCAAGGTGGCTTTCACCAGGAGTCAATTTAGCCTGCTGGGACTCTTTGCATTACTAAAATGAGCATGATTTTGGCTTGTTAATGGGGGGTAGAATTTTATTTCATTTTCTGAGAGGCATACACCCATTTTAGAGTAAGCCTTTCAGAATAAAAGTTTACTTCACATTATAGGAAATGACATTTTTTTTTCACATTTCCCTTTTCAAAGCATGCCTCAGATTTCTAACTTGTAGCAGAAAGTTTTTGTATAAGTAATAAAAGTCTTTAAAATTAAAATGCTAATCGTAAACAAACCCAAATGCATGAAAGATATAGTCTGACTGCATAACAAAAGAGAATTATATAATTCTATTTGAGTGAAATCTTTCATCTTTGATTTACAGGTTTGAGTATGCCTATAAATGAAACCATATTGTTCCATATCTTTCATATCATGGCCTTCCCCAAAATCTTGCTTTAATTAAGGTTCCTTTCAGATTTCAGAATAAAAAGCATGACAGTCTTCACTTATGGCTTTAATATATCCTTTGAGTTTGGAAAATATATAAAAATGAACATCACTTGCGTTTAAAAGCTGAGAGAGCTATTAAATACTGCAAGCTGAATACTTCAAGGTATCTCCAAGGGTTCATTAGGTGAGAAAGTTGTAAACAAAATAAAATTTGCTGTAGCAGAGTTTTGTTCATTCGAAGTAGTCTTACATACATGCCCTATCTCTTTCTCTGACGGTAAGGCAACACGTGTAACAGTTTAAGCGTTCATTATCAGCTAAAGGCACAACTATATGTTACGTTCTCAAACATGGAATTAAACAGCTAAAGTCACATTGCATGGAGATCTTGCTGCACTTTGGGGAGCTAAAATAAAGCATAAACCGTTAGAAGCTTCTTAAGCAACATCAGTTCTCTTGGTGCAGGACTATATAAAGAATCAGTTTGTATCCACATGACAACCTGTAAAAACACCCTCAACACAACCTCCACAGAAACACCGGCGCTTCAGATGAACTGCACGCAGTTACTGAAGATCGCTGCTCTTAGAGTCAGGATGCAGAAAGATTTCAGAACAAAGTAAAAACACATTTGAAAAGCCATCCACACTTGATCTCTGCTGCACATATGGTGAGAGCTACTGTCAAATACAGAGGGTACAGCACTTTTTTTCTTTAAAGGCAGAAGATCACTCATTTTAGAATGTGTTTTCACGATAGAAGAGATTACATGAAATGGGGAGGGATGCCTGGGAGAAGGGAAAAGAAAGTAAAGCACCAACAAGCACAGTACTTCAGGGGATTTATAGTACAATAAGAAGTGCTTTCCCTTTAGCTAAATTTCCTCATTGTAATTTACACACCTTTCACTTATTCGGCTAAGAACCCATGACAGCGGGTTAAAAAATGGCTCATAAAATAAAGGTGTCCTTTTTTTTTTCATTACACAGAGCGAAGAAAACTAATTCTATTAACAATTTAACACAGTATGAAAAAAATTACCCAGTAAAAATTGTCAGAAAGTGATTCATGGGTTTCACCGAGCACTTTGCTGGCTGTTGGAATTCTTGTATCTATAATCTATCATATAGAATTTTGTAATACTCTATTTCACAATTTATGTTGTGAGTGGGTCAAACAGCATATAAAAAGCATGCTCTAGGCTCTTTCTCCCAAGCCCGTTTTACTGTAACTCTAGAATTGTAGCGGTTATATTTAAGGAATCTTTAGGGCCCTTTCAAGTCCATCCAAAGAACAAGTGAAGTTGCTATTCAGTTTTGTGCCCAGTGTTTATGTTCCATCTGATCTGTGCCACCCAAGCAGCAGACAAGACATGTCTGAGGGTGCTTTTGGGGGATACACAATGATGTCACCCACAGGAAATATCAGGGAGGACTTGGCACTTCAGAAGGCTGGCTCTTCTTCCATGGGCTCGCCAGCAGCTCTGTAAAAATAAACAGGCAATCAGAATACGGCACAAGAGTACACAATGACATTGTAGATTTTCATGCATAATCAAAGCTGATTTTTCAGCTCTCTCTGATGTTTATTTGTGTTATTCAGTTATCCATAAATAGAGTTTCTTTCCTAGGAAGTATAAACAAATGTCAAGTGGAAAAACATTTTAGATCCAAGCAATCACTGAAAATGTTCCTGTTTATATTAAAATATGTCAGAATATTTTATAACTTTTTGTCCAGAAATGTACATGCTTTGTGTCAACAGAGTCAAATAATTTCATGAAAAAAATAGCTGTGATACTTATTTTACAAGCTTTTGCAACTAAAAATACATGTATTTATTTTTTTCGAGTGGGTAAAAAATTACAACAAAACAGTTTATTAGTAACCTAGTTGTTAGCAATGTTTCCTCTGGGGTTCTTCTTCAGCCTTCTGATTTTTGATTCTGAGAATTTAGAAGTGCATTGCCTGACTGCTTGCAGTTTCTGGGACCAAATTCTGAGCTCAATCAGCAAGGTCACTGTCATAGAGAAGGTATCTATTAAGAATATTAAATAGCGTTATACATGTATCTTTTGTTTGAAAGTCTCTGGGTAATAATCAGGTTAGGTAAGATGAGCTCTTTAAAACAGCCAATAGGTAAATAATGGGGACATACACTGAGCCAGAAAAAAGTGTCATAATTCCTTGTATCTGGCAAGCTATCGTACCCAAGGATTATCCTGGCAATTATAAAATGGGAAGCTCCTGAGATCACAGTTACTGTTGAAGGGCATAAGAATTTGGACATAAACCAATTTTCACCTCAGTCTGGCAGAATACCCTATGACAAATGAGCTGAAGACCTCCCTAAAAAATAGTCCCTTCAAGCAATTTTGAAATGAGGGTAGAGAAAAAATAAGTGCAAATTAATAAATAAGACATTTACTGGATAAATCTTGTAAGCCAGTATAATAACTGGCTTTAGTGAAACATCCCTCAGAAAATACAAACTCGTGAAATCCCATGAAAAAAAAAGTAATTAATGGGGCTTGCATGGGCTTTGGTAATTTATTCAGCAAGGAAGCCAGAGAATTCTAAATGAATCTGGAGTTTATTACAGTCTTTCCCAATGAAAAATTTAGCAGTGTGCCTTTAAATGATTTTATGGAGGTTATTCTTTTATGATTTGGAATGATCACAGATAGTATGTTGAAAAATATGTCAGATGAATGATATGTGAAAAATAAGATATTTTCAGACTAATAATTTCCAAAGGATTATTGACCCTAAAAGATTATTACTCTATAAATCTCAAATGTTTTGGTGCTCCACCACACGGTGGAGAATGTTCCCTACGTACAGTAACCACTGCAGCTCCCTCTTTCCTGAGAGGCAAGGTGAATCCCTTTTGCATTTCTTTTTACCCCTGTTACATTGCTCTGGCTTGCAGCAGAGACCGCACAATGGCAGCCAGGGTGGGATAGAGCCCAGCCTGTTGCTGATGTCCTCAGGTTTGATAAAGGATCATGCACCATGTGGGGGATTCATACTGATGGTGTATGTTGCTGTTGTGCTGATCACACACTTCCACTTTGTCCAGCCACATTTGGAAGACCTGCATGTCCTCTGGCATAATGCAAATGTGCAATAAGCCCTTGCTAAACATCCAGGACCTAATGAGTCTGTCTGGAAAGGGGATAACTTGAAAGCAGATAACAGTTCAGCTCTTAAGTTGGGCTGTGAGTAAGCAAATGAGAAGGCATAGTTGTCAATAGATTTCAATTAGAGATTGTCAGAGCAGGAAGGACTGGAGCTCTGGAAAACCTCTAGAGTGAAAGTGGGTCTTGGGGTTATTTATAAGGATCTAGGGAAGCAGTATGTGCATCAATCTGTTCACATGTATTTGGCTTCTGGGACCGACATTCCCATGACCCTAGTACAACCGAGAGATGATCTTATTCAGGGTTTTAGTCCTGGGCAATTTTCCACTGGTGAGGGTAATTCTGAGGGACACGACTGACCTCAAGTGCCATATTCTAATATATTCCAATATTTTCTAACCATATGCCAATATTCTGCATCAGCCAGAGATTAACCATTAGAATATTTTTTTTTATGCCAGTGGCAGATGTAAGGTGTTCTATGCAGAAAGAGAGGAGGAAGTTAGGGTGCCCTGGTGAATCCACCTGTTGTCTCTCAGCGTGGCAACTCTAAGACCCTTTTCCAGTCTCCTCTTGAAGACTTATGTGTATGCTTTAACTTCATTTTATTCATGTCAGAGAAGTCACTGAATCTATCCAAAGGCTAATCATTCAAAATATACATTTTTATGGGATAGCAGCTTACATCAGAGTTTTCTGTGAAAGCCAGTAAAGTTTTGGGGTTCTTAGTACCAAAGAGCCCCATTTTTCCCTCTTTGTACAGAGAGAAAAACACTGTAGTCCCCCTAACCTTGAGCAGTGAATCAGTATATAGCCATTCTGATGATATCAAAAGTTGTCAAAAAAACCCAGTAGAAATCGAGGGGGCAGAGTCTGACAGGCCAAATTTATGTTACTTCAGTTATGTCACTGTTAGTTACATCCGTTCAGTCACTCTTTCTGTAGCTGACAAGAAGTTGGCATAAAAACATAAAACATGCAAAAAAACCCATGCTGTATTGTATGCTCTAACTGGTTCCTCAAAGGCGCAGCTGTGAGTTCAGGTCTGATTTGGACTGATTCTGGGCAGTCAACAGATTTAGAAAGACAATCGATTGGGACTGTAATAATTGTAGAAACACAGCTGTGATTAGTCATTAAGGCTTCACTGTGGCTCGTTTGGACTGCGAGCTCCTAGGAGCGGAGGCCTCTTAGCTTTGCTTAATTTGGTGTACTGGAAACAGTGCTCATCTGTAGCTCTCTAGATGTACAATTCACACTACGGCAGACTGGAGTACTCTGTTTGAAGTTAATGCTAATCAAAATTATTCCGTTTAAACCTTAAACCAAAAGAAATGGATGAGACAAAAGTCCTACCATATGGATAGAATCTGGCAAAATGTGTGGCATATTAAGTATTATCCTGTGGCATCTGAGAATAAACAGCAACCATATTAATTATGAGATTATTTCAAATATTTCATATCTGCACTTTTAAAAACTTAATATTTAAGAATTAAGATAAATCCTGTACATAATCCAAAAAAGCAAATGTTTCTCTTACCTTATTTTTAGAGTTACAGAAATTCCTCATAGCTACATCATCACACGCATAAAAATAAAAATTCAAGATATGTTTCCAAGTCACAGAAACTGCTGAACAAAAGATAGTTTTTCTGGCATGGTATGGATGTTTTATGCCATAATCTGTTCCTAACTTAACTTAGCTGTTTTAGGGAATAACACTGTAATTGAAAAGTGATCTCTGGTAGCAAAGAGCCAGGGAAACAGAGGTACATTTCTATACCATGAAGATGATTCAGAGTGTCTGCCTAAAGGCATCATATAAGAGATCCTGAGTAAGTGTATATCCTAGTAGAAATAGACTTTGTATGGATCAAAGTAAAAGGAACTAAAAGTAAAACTGATCATAGTTTAAGACCAGAATAAGGTTACTACACATATACTCTGTAAAGAGGAAGTAATGTCCAAATAAGGCAATTTAAATAAACTATAAACTCTGGCAAGATAAATGTAAACCCTTGACGAGGCAGGCCAAAGGAGTCTGAAGAGCAACATGTTAAAATCATAAAAACTAATAACAAAAAGATCTTTCAAAGCACATCAGAAGAAATGATCAAAGCATAAAAGGAGCATCAAGGAAGGTAGACCACAAGAGCAAAATGAACTATTTATATCTGTGTTCACTAGAGAAGTGTCAGGGAGACTTTATTGTTTGCAGATGAACAATGTTAAACTAAATCAGCACTTAGAACAAACTGATATATTAAACATTGCTAAATTGCTAAAAGCAGATGATGTTCGTCCACTGTGTTCTAGGGGAATGCGATTATGATATTGCTAAAGAAATAATTACTGAGCATATTCTACTGCTTAACTTTGCATCCATACAAGAGGTAGAGAAGGTAAGAAATTCAATTCCCCTTTTGGAAACTGCAGGAGATAACAGTAAGCTGGTATGTGGAAATCAGTTTTAATCACTGATTACTAGGCATTTAGGTAACAATAATTTGGGTAAGAGTTAGGTCCTAACACTTAGAAAGAAAGCGAGCCTTATAAATTTGTCAGAAGTTTCTGAAGGAAATGAAAGAAGAGCAATCAAGTGGTATCCCTGCACAAAGAAACCTTCCAACTATTTTATCCAAATGCTTTGAGGAACCTAGGTAATGAAAGAAGGACCTCTCATAGGTAGATAATCCACCAAAAGTAGGAAACAGGTAATAATATCTGTGATTTTTTACTATGGAGGGATTCTCCAGAGCATCTCAAAAGGGCTTAGCAGACTGTCAGTATTTCTAGGTGATAATGTTTGTTGATGATGACAAACTACCGATACTGGTCAGTTCTAAAGCCCCTAACACCATTTCTGAATAGAAAAGAAGGCAAATTAACAATGCACAAAATAGGAGGGAGGACAGATTTAATTGTTTTTACACAGTGGTGGCTATGACTGAGAGCTTGAAATTAATGGTAGAAGAGCAGAGAGCAAAACAAATATCTTTAAGATAGTGTGTTCAACACCTGGAGTCCTGTATGCAGTTCTTACTCCATCTCAAAGAAAACTACAAAAGGCACAGAATCATCAGGGGTAAGAAATTATTTTCATACCAGGAAGAATACAGAGTCTTGAGACAGCTGAAGCCTTTAAAATCAGAAATGGGGCAGAGACTATGAGTAAGAATACTGCTACAAGAACTAGGGATTCCCCAGTGAATTTGTTGGTTATAAGTTTAGAGTAATGCCTGATGAGTCTGTGGGATTCACTACCTCAGTACCAAAGGTGTAAGCTGGTTTAAAAAAACTTTTGAAAAGTTTATGCCTGGGTAGGTATCCTGGAAGCTTTAAATGACATGGGTCAGATACAGCTGTTGACATCTACCAACCCATTAGGGCAAGGCCTGTTTTCAAACTCCTCTGCTCCTGGTTCTCTTCCTTATTCACTACCCCACCTGGGGGATGAGAGGAAGCTGGGCAAGACAGGGCTACAGCCTGACCTGGGGAAACCTGACCTTGTTCTTTAGCAACTGATCCTGGCTGTGACTTCAGATCCTGTGGGGTACGCCAGGTAGGTGCAGGTTACTCAGCACAGCTGAAGTGGATACCCAAACAGCTAAATGTTAAGAGAAGCTCTATGACTTGATACACAAACACAACACGCAACTCTGATGGTGGCTAGCTCTTCCCCAAGGTCCAACCAGTTGCTCTGGTATAGAGTAATATAATGTATGTAATATAATGCAATGTGATTGAAACTGCAACTGGTAGCTCTGTAACAGTAATATCTAAAAATTGCACTTTGTTTTCATTTCCATTTGAGTAAAATCTCTAACTATCTGAACAAGGGCCATAAAGTCAAATTCTGATAAATGTCATTCTCAAAATTTACTGTTTGCTGTAAAAATAGTAAGTGCAATAGATATCCCTCCACACCCTTTTATTTTTTGATTTTAAGAAGAATCATATGGAAGCTCCCATGTATCAGGAACAGCACTGTACTGAATATTTTCAAAGCATGATTTCTGAAACAGATGTCTGGCCAAAGCAAAATTCTAATCAGCTAAATCCGTATCTCATGTAGGGAATAAGGAGTTATCAACACACAAAGGTTATGGTAGCTAGAAATGTTTCATAGGGCATGCCTGCTCCTTTAATTGCATCTGTATTTAAATCTGTGTTAGCATCATGTATGTTTTCTTTCCTATCCACAAACTTTTTTCTATATCTGTTTTCTTCTGAAGTCTATAATCAAGTTTCTATCAGACCTTAAAATGTAGAGCTCTGCTTTGGTAAAATAAAAGTGCAGCAGCTTTTCGCAGTTTTCTTCATTTAGCATGCCAGAGAAAATCAAATAAAAAATAATTGGCACTGTCACTTGAAGAAAAAAAAGAAAGAAGGAAGAAAGAGAAATACTTAAGATGGGCCTTAGCCAGGAGCATTTTATCCTTTATTCATCAGTGGTAAATGAGTCAGATATGAGTTGGCCAGCAAAAGAGATGCTTTACCAAAATCTTAGTTTAAAGTGAGTCATCTCACTCCAAACAGCAGTATATCCTCCAACAGAAGTGGCAAGAGTTTTCCCCAGAGACTCTTGTTGCTGCTCTCTTCATGTGGAGGACTGACCATCTCAAGCTGAAGTCAACAGGATCTCTACCATCAGTTCAGTGAAACTAGGTGTTCCTGCTCCGGCAGGGGGATTGGACTAGATGATCTTTCGAGGTCCCTTCCAATCTCTAACATACTGTGATACTGTGTGAAACAGTGTTAGAGATGCAGGCCAGAATTATCAGCCTGGCTGACCATGGTGGGAATTTAAAGAAAGTAAATTGGCTCCTGGAATAACAAAGGAACCCTTCAGCCTGCCCTGTCAGCTATGGTGCCTTCTGCTCTGATCCCACCCTTCCTGTCACAACCAACTTTCCCAAACAAACACACAATGCAAAAGCTTACAACAGGTCTTCAGAAGGTGGCCCACATCTACAATGGGGAAAGGAGGGTACACCTACAGTGGCTGTATTAAGATGGCTTGAGAGCCCAGATGAGCTCTTACATAACTGCAGCCTGGTAGTTTGACACAGAAAAAGGCTGGAGAAGGAGCACTGCGTACTTGGTCCTGAATTACAACAGACATAACAAATAGGAAAACATAGAGTTGGAACCAACACTACATTGCTGCAGTTTGCATTGGTATGTGCCTATGAAATTAACAGCCTGTTTTTGTGAAATGAATGAAATTATACTGGCATGAAACTAGAGTGTGCAATGTAGAATCAGTCCCTGGATTTATGATCCCATGCTGGACTTACATTCATGCTCAAAGTGCAGCCAGGTCCTCTCAGGTCTCCCAGCAGCTCAGAGGACCCTCAAAATCAGACCTTCAAAGTGACCATATTTTATTTCATGGTCCTCCTTACATTCTTCATTCAGCAGGAAGATAACAAAGAGAATGATGTCCTGAAGCCTCAGAAAACCTAACCAATTTTGGCCCACTGGGACAGCACTTACGTTGTGCTGTCTGATGACAATCTGGCTATGGGTGACTTCTTTGGGGGTTACAAATGTGGAAACAGACAGGAATGCATGCGTGCATAGGTTTTTTTTTTTGAGCTGCTAAAAAATCTCAGCAGCACCACAGAAGATATTTCAAAGGAAAGCATTTTTCCACAGAACAATTAATGATGACAGATTGGTCCCTATAAGAGTCCAGAACTGATGAAGTGTACTGAATCTGGCAGCCACATGAATTCCACTTGTGTACATTTCAGTACATCCGGTTTTGGTTGTTTTTTTTTTTTTTTTTTTAATTTCTCTCAGCTCTGCCCTGAAATGCTATTTTCAGAATGGATGGAAACTGTCACAGGTTATCATTAGGCAAGTAATAAACACAATAATTAAGTGCAGTGTTAGCCAAAAGGTTATTTTCTTCAAATCATGTAGGATCAGCAGTTACTTTCAATGGCTGTAGTTTTAAGTGAGTGGAGGCACATGAATACAATTCTTGGTTGTTCTGAGCAATGTGAAAATACACAAAATTAAACACACCCTTACACAGAAACATTTAAAGCTTTACTTTGACTGCATTAGTTCCAACACTTGAACCAAAATTCTTTATCTTTCAGTGCTACCCACACAAGAGCAGGCACCTTTCTGTCTCATAACTTGTCACAAATTTATATAACAAAACTTAATTGTTCCTTAGTTGAGCACTGATTAGCACTCTCACAAAACTAAAATATGTCTCCCACTTGTCATGGATTCTTCGCTAAGCTTTTATGGATTTGTTTGCAATCTTATTAGCACAACAATAGCCATAGCATATTAAAATCTAATTACAATTGGAAAGGTAATTATGTAAATACTTCACTAGCTATCTGTGCGCCCTGTGTGTCGCTTTGAGCTGTGTCTGTTAACTCATTGACAGATGAGTGCTCCCACTGTTGTGAAAGATATTCAGTCCCAAACACAGCCATAGTTTTTACCACCATTCCAGTTCCCTGCATGCCTATCAGGTCAGTTCTGATTAAAGAGCCAATGAAGAAGGTAAGAGCCAAATCAGACAAGTAGCTGTCACAATGTAGGAGACATGGATCTTTCTGGCTCCACTCCTACCACTGCTCTGCCTACCCGGAGCTCCCTTCTTTCTTTCCTGTTGTTGCACAGCTCTGCTCTGCAGTCTGCAGGGAGCTGATGAGTCTCCTTATAAGGTTTTTTTCTCCTTTCCTCCTCCCTCCCCTGTTTTCTCTGGATGATGGATACCAAATGATTCTACTGCATTTTGGGTCTTCCTCTACTGGTGAAGGCCAGGGAACTTTGTCCTTAAAACAAGTAAATAGGAAACTCCAAGAACTTCTGCAGTAGCCTTTCTGTTTCTTAACAGCTCTTTGAAGAAATACTGTTTTTTAATGACACAGTATTGGGTGTCTATCTTTTTTTATTTTTTAAAATCTCTTATTGGCAAAAAACCACAACAGCAATTGCTATATCATTTTCTCAAATTGCGAAATTGAATGCAATCTTCATTAACGTAAAAAGCGGCTGACAAGGTGGAAAAAAAACCAGCGTTCTCACTCTTTGCTGGTGTACCTTCATTTTGATACATGGAAAATGCTGGCCTTAATCCTTGTCAGGATTGCTTTAAGTTTTACACTGGCACCTTTCCATTGCTTCCAGGGAAATAACTTTTAATGCATGTCTAATATAATTTAATAATGATTTAAGTCCATCCTTATTAAATTTATCTGAATGTGTGTTAAATGCCTTCCTAGAAAATTAGAACAGTTTTGAATAGCCTCCAATGAGAAGAATATGGTTAATTAAACTTGATCATATCTATTTTCCTCATATGGATATTATGCTTTTTGTTTATTAGAGAGCATTAGACACAGGGAGAAAACAAGGTTCTTGCACTAATCATGGACCTTAATAAAAATGACAAATGACAGAAAATATCTGCTAGCATAGACTATCTCTGCTTTCAGTGGTCAAGTGAGAGAACTCAAATCAAGGGATAAAAACTTCCAGGTACCTCAATTAGCAGTTAATTTTGAAACAACCTTTAGTCTGGCTGTCTTCTTCACCTTACTTGCCTGGAGTGAAAGCCTTGTTCTCTACAGTAATTGCATACACTTACCTGCTGCTTTCCTGAGGGATACACTGCTGAACATCCACTGAAAGAGAGGCCATAGCAGATACCGTTTCTGTCTCCTCCCTCTCTTGTTTCTGAGACTCTGCCAGAGCACAGTCCACTGGCACAGAGTATGGCTCCACTGACTTCCAGTACTTGCCTAAAGAAAACATGCATAATAATTCATTGGAATTTTAGCTAGCATGGTGGTAGAAGCATAGTAATCACTTAGTTCAACACTGAGTGATTATAATTTAAAATCACTGTGGTATAAGCAGCACAGCTGAAATTTCAGACTGCAGTGAGGAGGTATATTTCTGAACCTAAGAATGCCAATTTGGAAAGTGCTTTCATTCCAAGGGCTGTGTCATAACCTTCCCCAGAAGGTAATAAACTGGAGGAGTAACACACAGACTAATGATCGCATACTGTCAGACAGGTTATTGGCTTTATCTGTACAAGGTGAAGGGAGTTCAGGGCAGGGTTAATACCTAGAAGCTCTGATACGGCAGACAGTTGATGCATATACAGCAAATAGGGCTAGAAAAATTAACATTGTTGTACGAAGTGCTCACAGAGCAGTGTCTTGAAAAGGAAAAAAGTCAGAAATGCCAGCTCAGCCTGGAGTGATGTTGCCAGAAAAATCAGGTTTGTTAGTCCTGGATGTTCTTTCTCTTCCAACCTCGGGGCGTATACTAGAACAATAATTTATTTAAAACTTTCATATATGAACTGGCTGTTGCTGAAAAGCTGCCAGATGTCATACGGAATAGAGCTTTCTGGTTTGCTGTGTAAAAACACAGCAGTGGCTTAAAAGCCTGAGTATTCTCAGCTTTCTGCCTGCAAGAGAAGAGACAGTAAGAAGCTTCTCAAGCAACTCAAACAATAATGGCAAGTAACCCATGGTCCACATATAAAATGGTCTGCTACTGCAGTGCAATTAAGAAACAGGTTAATTAGTGGGAACCAGGTGAACAACTAGGAATTTAGATATGTATTTCTTACAGTTCAGTAATCCACTGAGCACTCACTAATTGTCAGGTGGATGACACCTGGAAATTTGGAGAACTGGGAAGGCTGGGAGCTCTGGACCAGAGCTTATTCAGTGTTTAGCAAGAAGCTTCCAGCAGCTGCAGAGGTTGAATCAGGGTACTTATCTGGGAATTAGACAGAGGGTTTCAACAGCTGTGAAAGAGAGGGGATCAAGTAGAAGACTTTTCCAAGGGCTAAAAGGAGGATTTTGGCAGTTGGGTGGCGGGCTGAGTTGAGGTGCTTATCCAGAGGGTATCTGGAGGCTTTGACAGCTGGGAGGCCAGGCCAGCGGTGGTGCTGCCTGTGCCGCACAAAGGCTGCTGAAAACTCCCTCTTTGGTAACACAGCTCTCAATACACTTTCAGGCTTTTCAAAAGGTGAACTTTTCCCTCCAGTGAGAAAGCAGCTGTCGATAAAGCCTGAAAATGTCTTTATTCAAAAACATCATTGCAAGATGAAAGCCCAAGTCAGTCTGCAAGAACAAGCAGAGAGCATGGCCAGCATGTTTCTTTGAACTGTAATAGTGTGCACATTTGAGTAGTTAGCAGAACCTTTAAATAACAGGGACCTTCTGGGGATAAAACGTAAAGTGCATTAAGTATCCTACAAAGTTGAGATTAAATGTTAGGAGGTTGGCTGTGTTCCAAAAGCATGAAAGACACAGCTAAAAAGTTATGTACGTAACAGTAGGCTCAATGATCGGAGCCTGGCAGATTTTGTAAAAACAATACAAAAATGTTCTATTATTAGCTTGCTGAGTGACCATATTCTCTATTCATTAAAAAAATACACTAAAACAAAGCAAAAAATTATATGAGCATTCCACGATGTTCTCACAGGTCATATGTGCAAAAGTCAGTCTTTGCAATACACACCCAATTCAAACCCTATAATTTATGAGCTAAATGTTTGCAAAGTGGGTGGGGTTTTTGTTGCAGAAACAGATGTGCAAGAAAATCAAATCTGTGGGCATGGGAATAATACCCCCTCTTGCCTATAAAAGAAATGAACCCATGTTCACTGCTGGAGTTTTCAAGGGCTCTTATTCATAAAATAAAATATTAGTAATCAGCTACCACTGTGTTGCCCTCCTGCAGCAACAATAAAACGGCATCAGTGAGGATTGCTACATCACATTCGTTCATTCGCACATAGGCTCGCATACCAGCTGTCCCCTGAATCTGAACTTTCCTGTAACACTAAAACTCAACACCAGTTCAAGCATATTAGTGGGATCTCTGTGCCCATTTAACTATCAATCACACCCAAGCGACTGATGATTTTCCTTGTTTCCCTGCATTGAGAATTGTATTATGAGAAGGATTTCAGCGGTAGAAAAGGAAACCAGAGTCAGGCCAGGAAGCAGGTGGCAGCACCTATGCCGCAGTGGAGGGTCTTGGAGAAGGGGAGTATATGGTAGGGTGTTTGTGGTTTGTGGGAGGAAATTTTAAAGCTGTTCCAGTTAGTAATTGCATCCAGGTAGCCGTGAGTACCTCACGCAAAGAGAGCATTCTGATGCTTGTGAAAAAGCAATGGTCGGTTTCAATTTAAAATCAGGAAATCAGATTCTATGATATATTCTATGATTCTAAACATGTACTTTACAAACACCTCTGGTAATCAGAGCAGCTTTGCAAGTTTCTTTTTATACAAGACAATATTTACATTTACATACAGGGCTTCCATGCATGTTCAGCCAAACGACTTGCAGGCAAAGTTTTGTGGAACAGAGAGACAATCACAGCATGAGGCTGCAAAGGAGCTTTGTAAGAAACCTTAGGTATGCTACGTATTTGCAATTAAATGAACTCAAAAAGCATATGCCTCAAACTGCTCACATCTCTGAAAATGCCGTTTCTACTGTGCCATACTGGAATGTGAAATTCTACCAGCCCTGTTACATTCATTGAGAAGAACTTGGTGGAGCTCAGGGGAAAGAGTGAAGCATACTGCTGGTTTCATTCATACAAAACTTGAGCAATCGTGGCTTGCAAGAATAAACAATGAAACCAAATCAGTCTTCTAGGTATGCTTTGGTTTCCAGCATGAAAATGTGCTTAAGACTCCCTCAAAGATTTGTGAGACTACTGATTATTACCAGGAAATAATAAAAATGAATGTCTCTGTCACTGTTACAAGCATTTGTAACTGCCTTTCACAGATAGATTTGGACATGCTATACCATGGCTTCCTTCAAAAAAAGCCCATACTTGGGGGTGGTATTCAAGCCAACGAACAGGATTGCTTAGAAATAGCATATTACATGGGTGTGGGAACTGTTACTTCCAAATGTATTACATTTCCAAAGGATTTTTGGATCACTGTCACATACAAAACATTTATACAGATTCCATTCTAGTTAGAAAAAAAGTTGTTTCCTCTCATTGTCTAAGTAAGTATTGTATCTTTGCAACAAACAAAGAGGAGGGACTTCTGGTTTTGTCTAAAATAGTGCTAATATTTGTTATGAAAGTTGAATCACAAACATACAGACCCAATACACATGCAAACAATCATCCAAATAAATCAAGCTTTCTCAATATCTCTTGAGGTGGTACTTGACAGCTTTATGCTTTTCAGCATTAATAACTCCCTATAATATTCAACATGTACTTGCTTCTCTTAATTCCATCTAAATAGGTGTTCTCCATAAAGCTGTCCTGAACTTCCTCAATGCTCCTTTCTGTCATCCAAGCATATTCCTTTCTAATACTTGGTCTCCCCAGACAAAATGAGGTATGCATAACTTTTAAAGTAATAACTGCAAGAAAAGAGAGACTATTGTATATAAATAACTCCAAACCTAAGCAGATCGACCTAGGTTTCATCCATCTGGACTGCCATGACTGTACCAGTTCACCTCAAACCAATGTGTGGCAAAATTAGGCCCCTCTTCAGGAGCTCTGGACTATGTTTTTAGGCATAAACTTGTATAGTTCCTAAAACTATTCCTTCTTTCTGTGAAGGAAGGAATTCCTTTGTGTGTAAGACACTATGCCTTTCTAGAGCTTAAATTATTTTCTTTTTCTTAATGCACCCTTTTTTTTGTTTGTTTGTTTGGTTTTTTTCTGATCCATTTTTCATTAAATACATGCTTTATTTCAAACAGAATTACATATCCTTTTCTCATGTCTGTGGTATGTGTGCAGCTTGCTGTCCTCACTACCATTTGCATAGTACATGAATTTCCTTAATTTGGTGATTTCTCCCATATAATTAGCAGATTATTAACAGGGAACTAGCAGATTATTAACAGGGACACTAACTCATGAACTACCTTAGGACATACCACTCAGCAAAAATGACTGACTGGAATTTATCACGTAGAGGTGATTTACTCAGAACACTTGCATATCTAGGTGACTACTGGATGTGAAAGATGAATTACATACCTACAGAATTTTCTTTGTCACTTTACAATTAAAATCAGTTTGAATACTGCATGATCAGTGGAAAATGCATGGTGTCTCTTTTAAAAACTGCATTTCTTTCATGTAGTTGAATACTAATTATTTGTGATTCATCAAAGATGAAAAAAACATTTGTTATCCATTTGTTATTGTTAAGGAGTCAGCAAACAGCAGAAGTCAGGAAGCTTCCACTGCCTCAGTAAAATGGCAGAGAGCAGAAGATTAGGGAATTTAAGGGAAGTCTGCTCAGTTAGATTAAGGAAGCTGATGGCAGAGAAAATTTTTTAGTGAGACCAGAGCGAATGCCCTAAAGCATCTGGCTAATAAAGGGTTGGTGTCAGGGCCCACAAGTGAAATGATCAAGTATCAGCTGCATCAGAAACTGAAGAAAGTCATGTATTTGTTAGCATTGTTTCACGGAATTAGTGCCCATTTTGAGCTTTTTAACTTTATCTCAAGCTCCTATACATCTCAAAGTGAGTAACTCAGGGGATGTTGCACAGAATCTGTAGAAACTATTTTTTTACAGCTCTAATTTACCTGTTGGTTCCTGCCCCTCACTGACAAACATCTAGTTCATCCAAGGTACTCTGGACTAGAAAGATTTGGGAATACTTAGGAATCAGAGAGCTCTAAATAATTTCAAATGGTTAGTTTTTCAGGGCTAAACATACAGCAGGAAGAAAGGGATGTCAAATAAATAAAAATAAAACCATATATACATATACATAACTAGACACAGAATGTTCATTTATACATAAAAAATTTGCCCACTCTTTTCTTTGAACCAATAGGTTAATGTCTATGATATTAATTCATAATCAAAAATACCCCAAACCCACCAACCCTCCAACCCAAACTGAGAAACATACTTTGAATTTCAGTGGTCTTTTTTAAAGAAGCTATTGCATTCATATTGGGGATTTGGTGCACTATGTCTTCTGGGAGAGGCTCCAGCTGCAAGAATAGAATAGAATAATATAAATTTTCAATAAACCACAGGGAAGTAAAACAAACTGAAACAACCTAATCCTTAGAAAAAGCTCAGCCCAAGAACTGGTTAACATTTTGCTGGTATCAGTTCTAAATGTATAGCCATGATTTTGTTTTCTGTTTTCCAGCCATGTAATTGAATTCCAAGGGGCTTTTCTATTGGCTGCAAGACTAATCTATGGAGTCTCTGAAACAGGTGCATGTCTGTGTATTATTCATTAAAAAAATGCTAGTTATTTGTGTAATTTTTGTAGGTTCCTCACAAACCAAATTCCACTGCATGTGTATACGCAGCTGGGCACACCAAACAAACCCTCGCTGAAGCCACACTGAAACCAAAGCGTGCACTCCATTATCTTTATTTTTCTGGTGTTATTACATCTAGCCATCTTACACATTTTAAGATTTATAAGAGGAAACCATAAAACACAGCTGCTTTTACTAGTTTTGCATTAATTTCAAATAAAACAGTAGATAAAATAATGGTTATGCAGATCAGCAGTAAGAGTTCTCTAAAAAAGTTACTTATAGAGTGGGCTGTATTTTAATTAGCTAGTTTTAGCTCTATATTTTTTGAGTAGGGCTGCATTATAGCATATTTGCAGAAGGAAGTGTTTACTTACTGCACAGTTACTTTTGCCCTGCAATGGATAAATATACCAAGCAAACTATATTTTGAAATTCATCCACATGTGCTTTTTTTGTCCACCTTCCATACATTTTCTCCCAGAAAGAGGGTAAAATATTGTGTGGGCTAAATGCCTCATTTTATACTGTAATATCTATATTCTCCTTGACCTATGCTTAAAGTCCAGTCAGTTTTTCCTCTTCACTGCAGTGTCTGCACAGACTGGGACAGGAATACCAACTGTGTCAAGGTGGGCAAGGAAGAGCAGTATCAATACCAATCTCTCTTCTCTAAAGCTAAGGAAGTTCAACTACTGTTGACAACAGACATCTGTAATGCAGACAGAATTCCTTTCTTAAGCATGTCTAGGTCTACTTTAAACTAGGTCAAGTGAAGCCCACCTAAGGATCTTCCTCTGTGAAGTTAATAGTTCAGTAACCAACACATATCATCCTTCAGGTTACTACCATTGCATTGCTACCCACCAACTAGATGAAGTCAGCTTTGATTAAAATACAAAGTGGGAAGCAACTGCAGTGTAGATACTCCCTTAGTGATTCTATTTTAAGCAAGCTTAGCTACAAATCCCAGAACTTCTGGAATCCTACCACTGCAATCAATAGTGAAGGCCTGTCAGTGATAAAGACATTGCAAATATCACCATGGAGTCCTGGTAACTAAAATAAATAAGGCAGTTCATGTCATTATTTCCTTAGAATCCTCTATGGGATCACAGCTGGAAGATTTTCTTGTGGCTAGAAACAATAGCACTATGTTTTGTTTTCAAATAACATAAATCACTCCATTCTGTGCAGAGAAGTGCTGGTAGGACCTGATTTGGTCTACCAAGGAAGTCAAACTCCAAAGGAAGATTGTTGCTATCTAATATGTATCATAGATTAGAACAGAAAGAGCTATTACAATAGAAATAATATTTACAGATACATTTACAATTCTTAAACCACATTTTTATCACAATCTTTGTAGGTTATTCTACATGGTAGATGTTACCATCTATATGGTAACTCTTGCAGGTACCTCAGGGAAAACTGTGTATGAAAATGCCCACCAACAGATCAAGCTTGACAGATCTTAGAACAATAATCCATGAAACAGTCTTAATACTATATACCTTGGGTTACACAGATGAATAGAACTTGCTTTTATCAGTTAGTTTCTTTTCAAAGCAATCTATCATTTGGTTAGCATAAGGACAAAATCTGAAGTTTAGTTTGGTCGTACTGGGTGCAGGAACACAGAAGAGGAAGCAAACTGTAGCTTAAGATTCTGTTTTGAGAATTTCCTAATTCCCAAGGCTTTGAAGATCAATTCACTCCCCTGAAGTAGGACAAAATAGCCCTGGGCTATAACCGTATGAATAATAGTACAAAGTATGTAATTGCTAGACTGCAAGATGTGAGAAAACTGTCTTACTTTGTCCTTTGAGTACCTTGAGATTATTAAGCTGGGAGCAACTGATGTAGAGATAGCTAGAAGTAATATCCTATTAAAAGGTGAATATTTTGTTGTGTTCAGAGCTGGATTTTTGCAGGAGCCAAAAAGTCTTTTTTTTTCCTAATATATCGATAAAACCTCTTTAATCAGTACAGAATAAATTCTTTAACAAGTAGGCTGCATTTGAATATTTAGACATATCAGGTTAATGTTTAGAAATGGCAGATGTGTGTTTAGAAATCAGGATAAGATGATAAATCATTAAAGACAAGAAGAAAAAACATACAACATACAACAATTATCCCAATCCTTACTCCATCTGTTAGTTTTACTAACAGATCTATATAGGTCATGTGAGCATAACAGTCATGTTTGATCATTTCCTTAACTCTTTTCCACAAAACTTTCCTTTTGTATCCCAAGCTGAGCTTCTGCTCCAGAACTATTCTGCCTCTTCACTCAGTGATAGCCAGACAGACCTTGGATCCTCTTCCATATCAGGGAAACCTTATCAAGCACCACAAGTAAGTTCATTACATCATATATCCTCTTGAGCCCAAAATGCAGTACCATTACAAAACCACCATAGAAACAAAGCCAGTGACTTATGGCAGGTATTTCTATACACTGTGAAATGAGACTGCATTTGAACGAATGATTTCTGCTGGCAGCTGTCCACTGGTTGGATATGACTGTATAGACACAGGGGTGTCCCTGGAAAATATCAGCAGTTATACCCGACAGTGAACAAAAGAAATTACTCTACACCTGGCATATATGGCACCATCACCTTCCCTCCTACACTTATTGGCATTCAGATCATGAAGTCTATTAAATCTGGAGGCTAACAGAAAGGAAGCTGAAAAGAGCACTGGAAATACACTGTCAGGAAAGAAATCTTTCAGAGAACAGCCCAAGTCTGCAGAAATAACCAAACCACTGGAAAGACTGTTTGGACCAGACACAAAGGGTCACATTTTCTAAGTTTTCACATGGCTGAATTAGGCTTTTGTGACTAAAGTAGCCGATGAAAGTAGAAACTGTGTCCACCAATCATTTTCAAAGTAGGAAAAACAATGTAAATGGGCAAAAATTACTTGGGCTGCCTAAGTCTGCCAGAGGCGTATCAACAAATGTTTGAAGAAGGAATTAACGGTGGAAATTTCATGTGCCCAGAAAGTGATATGAATTGATCCTTGGGAACACGGAGAGAATCTGAAACTGCAACATTCTGTACTGAGCTGGAAATTCTATCAATATCTGTATTGTCCTTAACACTGTCATGTTTTAAAGCACTGAGATTAGCGTCAGTGAAGGTTGTTGTGCAGTTAGAGATAACTGATGAGTGAGGCAATTGCAAGCATAATGTAAGGAGCACGGAAAGTCCTGACATAAGCAGAGGAAGGGGAAAAGACAGGCAGGCTCCTCAGGGATGCCTAGGTTGCAGGGGGAAGCATTAGAACCTCTCTTTCCTGGATGCACTGTGCGAGAAGCATATCAGCCCAAAGACTGGACTTCATTGCTTTTAGGGTGACCTATGATTACAGAGGACTAGGTTCAAAGATCTCACAGGTCCTATCTGTTCTTCTATTAACAATCTTCTGAAAGTTTATGCACTTTCTGTTTAAATATAAGCACTTTGGGAAGGTATTTTTGTGATCTACTGTTACAACATAGCATATAAGTCAGTTTTCAGTAAGGAATAAGTTCAAAGACACAAAGGGTCATTAGCACCTACCAGTCCCTGAAAACCAAGGGATGCCTAGGAATTATGTAACTTTGGTATTGGAATATTCTCTGATTCTTTGGCCAAACAACTTCCTGACTAGTGCTGCCCACCTTGTGGACTTTGATGTCACCATGCTGACCTCTGGCACATACATTGCTCCAGTTTCCTACCCTATCTAATTATTTCTGGACCAATTTCTGGACTCTGGGTTTGTGCAAGCAGCAGTTGAAAGGTGGCTTGGACTCGGTGTTAATTATTTTCAGATTAACTATCAGGATGTGAGATTGTGACCAAGTTTACCAAGCAATCTAAAATTGATCTCAGGCCGTATTCACTTCCATGAATATTCCAATTTTGGAGAGAGAAATGCTTACCTGTTCTGGTAAATAACCCCTTTTAACACAGTCCAGGCCCTCTTGGCAGAGCTCACTGCCTAGCTGGCAAGCAACCCCAGATTCACACTGAGTTCCACAAAGGAGAAAATGCCAACTTTTCATCATCAACAGGAAAGCTGCAGAGTACAAGCTTTCCACTTAAATTACCATCCCCTCCTAAATGCCAGCTCAACAGATTGCAAGAAAGAAGCACATACTTCACACTCTGCAGGAAAATTGTCCAGGATAAGTTTTCAAGCATGCATGGGAGCCAACCAATCACAATGTTTTGTCAAATTCTGCTTCAGACTGAAATTCAAGCCAGAAGAGTATTTACTAGAAGATGTTAAATTTAGTCACTTAAAAATGTTTTTGCACTTATGGCCAAATTCAGCCTTGGCCGCCACAGTCAATGAGAGCAGACATGCATCCTCTCTGTGCCTTTGTTGCAGGGTCCCGCTGGGCAGAGCACACTGTGGACTGCACTTCTCTGTTTCCTTTATGCAAAGAAGAGCATGACCCCATCTGCTAGCAATTATCACTCGTTACAGGCCACAGCAAACTACTGTACCACATAGAGTTAAGAGACAATGCCCAAACCTTTATGCAGATCAGAGGGACCATGATGTTAAACTGACTTCTGTGTCCCATGGAAATACCCCATCTGGCTGCTTGAAAAGGGATGTGAATAAGGAAGAATTATATCTTTAGATTTTGATTCAAAAAGTTTCGTGCCTGAAGGAATCCTTCCTTACTGTCTCTGGCTGCAGAAGAACCCCCAGCTGAACACAATTATGTTGGAAATAAGCTGCAGGATTTAGGATACTGAACTCAAAGAAAGCTTATCCCTGAGGGCTTTTTAAATCCAAGTAGTGTCTCTTCAAAAGTAATGTGGAGGAAAGAAACCAGAACCTACCCTTGCATGTATAGAGCAGCCATACTCACCACCACCTGACACTGAAAGATAAAGCAGTTGTCTTTATAGCATCGAAGCTAGGATGGGCAAAATAGTGTGGAATTTCCACTCTCCATAACAAAGATTTTGGGGAAACACCTTGATATTAAACCCAATCTTCACACACTTCTTGGAATTACATACAAAACCCAACATTTAATTGAAGTAATTGAAGTAATTCTTAATTGAAGTAATATATACATCTATATATACTTGAAAAAGAAACTGTATGACCAATCTGTGAAAAAATGTAGAAGAATTGAGTTTTAAGCATAAGAGTATATCATAATTTCAGAAATGCTTAGGCTTATAAACAGTGTCTCTGTCCTAATTACCTGAATCCAACATTTCCTTTGTTTTGATAGATGCTTTTTTAATGGCGAAGTTCTCAAATCATGTTGAGAAAATTTAGGGATATTTTAAAGCAACTGATGCTCATCCTGCTTTTTTACTGTCCAGAAGGATTTCCATGTTTTTATTCTGGATTTCAAGGGAATCCAGCTGCTTAATCTCTTCTCACCTCTTCGGAAGGTTTCCTTCCAAGGAGATAACATACAGTGCTCCCAATTAGCTTTGCAAATGGTCAAATGGATTCTTCTCAGTGTGACATGGACAGACACATAGACAAGGAAACCTAAAATCTTGAAATGCTTTTTTAAAAAAAATTATATGTAAACTTTCTAATTAATTTGGTATTTATAAAATTTATCCTTACCTTTACTTCTAGAATTTCCTTTTTATATTTCTTATCGTTTAAGGAGAGATTCATGCAAACAAACCAGACTGAGAAATTTCAGATATTATAAGGTGTTTTGCCTGATTTTCAGCTGCTGCTCAGAAAAGATATGCGTCTCCTGCAATTTCTGTGTTATATTAGGAGTCCTGTGCTGATGTCCTGGCTACCTTAAGGTATCCAGGCACTAGGAACCTCTATTTAGGGAGCTGTGTCTTAGAAAGAAACAATTTAGAATGTAAGTGCCTTCGATCAGAGAAAACCAACAATTATAATCAGATGTTTCTCAGAAGTATTGACCTCAGAAGTATAGATGGGGCTGATAGCTCATTTAAATTCTGATCTCTTGCAAGAAAAAGAGACCTTTTAATAGTTTTTTTTGGTTAGTCTTCAAAATCCACAACTATATGCAGGAATTTCCTGTGCCATACTCAAATTATTTAAAAAACATTAACTTGATAATGTATTCTTTTCCTAGTGGCTCCAGTTGCATTTGTTAAGAGAAGAGTAAGAAGTCAGGTTGCTAAACAGATCATCGTACTACACGCCACATATAAATAAGAGCAAAATATATCTATCTTGGATGTCAACCTGTTTTCCATCTTGGTATTCAGAGACAAATTAAGAAAATAAATCATTTTGCACTTGTAAGTTTGATGTTACTTCTGTATATCAGACCAGCTCTTCATGAAAGCTGGAAGTTGCGGCAAGTTTTACTATTACTCTTTTAAAAAATGTTATTCTGCTGGTAATAGGACATATGAAGCAGTGAATTTCTGTATTGACAAGTCCTGGCCAAAACCAACAAAACAAAAGAAAAAGTTAAAAAAAACCCAACAAAATGTTTATAAATTCTCCTCAGCACATGAATAAATACATCTGACAAAGTGCAGAGTACCTTACAAAGGCCTTTCCCAACCTTTCTAATTTGAGTTCAATTACATGTATGGTGTTTAGAAACTGAAGAACATTTTGCCAATGTTTTTAAACCAAGGTTGTACTATATACCATTATTTGTAAAAGTGAAGGGGGCAGATAACAGGTTATAATTATCCTATTAATCACCTGTAAATAATTGCATTCCGGGAAGAATGCATCCTTGAATTACAATAATTGGTTGTTTGAAGAAAAACATTTTTTTTTTTTGTCCTTGACAGGAACATGCTTGGGGTGTACTGTGCAAGCTCATGAATATTATGCTGAAATCAAGCAATGTATATGCTATGGGCCATGTGGTGTACATTGCCATAAGTCTATAGATGTCAACAGATGCACTGATTTCTAACTGCTAAGTAGGTATCAGACTTCTTCATTAGTGTCTGCTCCTTGGCAACACCTTTAGTCATTCTTTTAAGCAAACATCAGTTTCTTACGACAGTTGTGGTAACAACATCCTCTCTGGAGTATTTTTCTCTTCTTAGCAGCCACAGCATATTTTCTCTTTGAAATTCTGCTGCACCAGACCATTTAATGACTGCCACCAAAGACAACGCTGTGAGTAGAAGCACATGAGAATAATGCATACTGCATGAGATGTTTCAAGTTATTAATGATCGCGTTCTTTTACAAGTGGAATAAAAATGGCTGCATGGTTATGTTTGTCTTAATTCTCAGTTACTGAATTTCTGTCTCAATATTGCTTTGCTATATTTTGCAAAAAGGTAGACTCACAATTTATCAAATTTCCTGGTCTCTAATAACTCAAAAATAAAACTGAAGAAAGTCTCTATTCTAGTACACTTATCCCATTCCTTTTGCTCACAATCAGTATTTTATCTTGGGTAGTGGCTAGTCGGTGACAGCAGAGCAGTAGGTGGGTGTGACACAGCGTTAAAGCAAAACAAGGCAGTTTTCATAAATGGGTAGCACCACCAAATGGTCATAAATGGATAGAGGGACCCAGGAACCTACACAAAGAAAGACACATCACATCATCAGCATTGTACCATTTGCGTTAGTTCCACAAAGGTGCAAATTCAGAGTGGGTTTAGAAGGGCTATGAAAAGCCACTGGTGCTATAAGATACTACCACAGAGAAGATGATTACAAAGAGTATCAACAAGAGTGCCCTGCAATAGTAGCTGATCATGAAGGCAATACTGCATTCACTTAAGACTGCCAGATGCCTCAAACTAAGGTTTTGCAATCTCTATTTCAGAACCTAAATAAAAGGACCAACATTGAGCTGAGCATCTTTTTCAGTAATGCATATCACCACACTGGAAAACTCTCCTTACAGGCCTATCAAAGATGATATCAGATAAAACCCAATTAAAGCTTCAATTTTTTTTTTTTATTTTTAATGTGACTACTTCTTTACATTTCTGAAAATATTTTTGAAAAAGCTATCACTTATTCTTTACATGTATAACATAAAAAATAATAAACATGAAAGTATTTTTCTCGATGGGTCGTAAAAGGGCCTAAAAGAACATTTAGAAAATCCTTCTATCCAATATTAATCAGAAGACACATTACTTCACATTATTCACATAGGTATAAAGGCTCAAAGCATAAGGGAACTGGCAGACTAGCTTACAATTTGGCTTACATTTGATTGGAGAGATTACATAGTTACTACCACCTCCCTGGGGGAAAGAAAGTAACACACTGCACTTTATAACAAGATCTTGCAAAATTCACAGTTTATGGTAAAGGCTTTTGTCGTTTCATAAATTGTGTTGGCTGCACCTTCAGCAAGCTTATTTTCCTTCTCATCACATTTATGGGAAAAAAAGATATTTTCTTGTAAACAACAGAACAATTTTCACTAATATGAATGCTTATCTTGTGTTTGTGTCCATAAATATAATTTATTCATATTTACTTAGCCTGATAGTCCAGTCTCAAAAGTTTTTAAATAACATATAGTGTTTGATAAATTTTTGGAAACTCCATTTAAATTACATACAAATGAGTCATTTATAACAAAATATTTTTTTGAAGTCTTGGACACACTTTTATTACTATTGTTGTTCAATTTCAAAAGCCTGTGAAATAGGTTCTTCCACAAGCCAGTCAAAGTGTCAAAATACTGGAAAAAATGTGCTTTTGCAATATACAATTCCTAAAATTACCAGATACCTTGCAAAAAGCATCTTTTTTTTTCCCATGATAGTCTGGAAGTTCTGATCCTGATAGATGATATGCACACCAATAACTACCGATTATGTTAAGTCTGGTATTCAGTACATCACAAAAAGCAATTTTGAGGTATTAAATATTACTCAGAACTGGCAATAATTTTGGCACACACTAAAGGGTTTGTAAAATCCTCTCATTTAGAGGTATTTATCCAAACCAATTCATCTGAAGTCTGTTTATTTCTAAGACGTGTTCAAATTGCATGGATTTTGTAGCAAATGAAAAAAGGGCTGATTCCATTGTTACTAAAAGAAAATCAAAGATAGGAGTTTCAGCAAGTTTAGGTCATTTTCTTCATCTCCTCTGATTTGTGTTTTACCTCATTTCCTAAAAGGGCGTTTATACAGGCTTCAGATGCATCACAGATGGCAGTAAGGTCATGTCCTCCCTCCAGTGCCAGCACAACACGGCCATCCGCTAGCTTCAGCAATTGCTTGGTTAGGTGACCAAAACCTAGTATTCAAATACAGTAGTGCAAATAATTAAAGCAGAACAGACATTACTGGCATATTTCACATCTGCTGCATGAGAATATAAAAGTTCACAGATATTGTACAGGGATCATGGGATCCATTTGGTCCAATATTCTGTTTCTGACTGGCCCATAGTAGATGCTTTGGAGTTAGGTATATGGAATTCTGTATGTGACAGATGTGAGATAATGCCCCTCTTGCTGATCCCTAATAGCCTGAGATTAATTGAAACATGAGGTTATTTCTCTTCTTACCATCATTAACCATTATCATCCTGGATTATCTATTTGCATATCAATGTAACTTATGCCCATGTTATTTAGGGAGATCTGACATAACCCTGGCACTTATAGCTTTGATAAGACAAAAAATATTTGTAGTTAAGATGTGATAATTGTATTTTTCAAATGAGATGACAAAATTTTTATCTAGAAATTGCTTTTTCCCTTGTATTTGGGGTTTGTGTATAGTGTGCAACCATAGACTGAAAAATAGTAGAAACATGTTAACTCTTAGCTTCATTTTGAAGTGTTTTGGAATCAGCACTAACACTTATTTTAATTCAAGGTTTTTGTATAAGTTGAAACTATCCAGAACTTTGTAGATATCTTTACCAGTGCCACTCACTTCTGACCAGTAATGTTCTAAGCAACTGCACAGCAGCCAAAATCAATAGTACTTCATTTTATGTGATCTATAACTACATGAGCGCTACCACAGAGTTTTCATCTGTGATTCATGTAAAATTAATTTATTTCATTTTTAATGACAAGTAAAATTGAACAAAAAAGTGTTAATTTGGTGTGAAGATTTTGGAGAGAAGTTTTGTGGTAGTTTCCTAAGGAGAGCTGTTGGTTTTGATTAATCTCCTTTCAGTGAGTAATGATAAGTAAAGCTTCAAAAGTATTGAAGTTAAATACCCATCACAACTTTTCCACTTGGTCTGTGCTAGGTGTGCTAGTTGCTCTACTGACGGTCATCAGTACTCATTGCAGTGTATTTCATAACCTTAAATAAAGCATTTAGAAGGTATCTGCTAAAACCTGGGGCTCTACAAAGATGGAAAAACCAACATCTTTTTACCATGTTTCAGTGAAGAAGGTCGTCAAAAATTCAATACAAAAATCAATGAAAAATCGCAAGCTTATTTTCTAGAGACATTTTCCAATACACAGATTTAAGGCTTGAGTTGGCAAACAAGCAATCTCACAATTAGTTCTGTTTACATCTTAGGCCTTTGTTAATCACATGCCCAACTGTTTTTGGAATAGGGACTTTAATGATATCAGATTTGTTTTAGTGTGCAGATAAAAAGAAACCAAACCAACCAAACAACAAAAACCCCAACACCCCCTGTCTGTCACTTAATCTATGAATGATCACAGAATACTTGAGGTGAAATATTGTTTCCTTAAGCTACTCCACAATCTTCTATTGTGGTTCAAATTGCATACAGGTTTGAAAAACGAATAAAACCTTAAACTCTTATTTAAGCTCAACCTTTCCTCATGAAAAAAATCCCCACCCAATCCTCTCTACAAAAGACCGAATTTAGACAGGATAATAAAAGTGAAAGAAGGAGTGGAAAGAGGATAACCTTTGATCTTCAGCCAATTTCTACTTTCTTTTACCTACAGGATTTATTTCTGTCTGCATGTTGCACATGCGTTCTTTGGATTTGTAGTAAGAGAGTGCCAACAGCGTAAAGTGAATTGTGCATACAGCATTTAAAGGAAATGAAGAAGAATGAACAGACACAGACTCCACACATCTACAGCTCACCCTCTGGGTCTCTGAGGAATCCAAGAGCTCTTTTAAGTCAACACTATCCTTTGTGATATACAGCTTCTGTGATGAAGAGAAAGCTCTACCATGTTTCCCCTGCACATTTTGAAAATTTTGTGAGACCTCAAATATTGATACTGCCGCATCTCAATTTTCTGAGGTATGTGTGGCAATTAATATAAAGGTTCTCTCAATGCCCTTTTCTTCTTTTAGGCAACCATGCATAATATAACTTGTAGACATTGTTATGATGCTAGTTTGTCTAATTTCCTAATGATTTTCCTAGTATCAAAATTACAATAATCATCCCTGTTTGAGTCAGGATGTAATGAGCCATACAGAAAGAATCTTTCCAATCAGAGATCACAGTAACAAGATAAAACGTTGCCAAACCAAACCAACAAGACTGAAGCTTTTCGTCAGTGTAATTACCCTGAGAAAGTAAAGGTAACTTGCTAGAAAGGGAGTCAACAGTACCAACATTGCCGGTGAATGAGTTATGGAAATTCTTAACAAAGAAACTTGGATCCTGTGCCACTGCAGCAACCTAGGAAAGATATTAGCTTCCTCAAGGAAATCCCCTGGAGTGCAGAAGTAACAAAATGGAAAGAAAGGAATCCCAGTCAAGTAATGGTTTTAAGATGGGCTCTACTGCGTGCCAAATAATTAAGAAAAACAAGAAGAAAATAGTAACAGGCACCACGAAATGAATCAGTCATCTTCCCTGATATGAGGAGATCAAGCACATATTTGACATCCCACTGGCTAACTTTAAGGTGAGAAAGGAGTCAGAAAAGCGTTTTTAATCCTGAACCTTCCAAGTTACATGAATGTCTAGAAATCAGCAGCAGTTCTTGGCCCTTCTACTGTGCCTGCTGAAAAAGGTGCCAATTGTGATGCTGGCTTAAAAGATGTTTTCCGTTTGGATTTGCTGTATTCTAAAACTGCAGATTTTTGCAGTAGTGAATAACATTTATAGATTAGTGGCATTTTATAGAAACAGTAAATGTTCAGTTATAAAATGGAAAGTCATGTTAATGCGTCACTGCTTGATTTTCAGTCCAGCCTTAAGCGGGCATTGCTTTTTAGAGGTTGCAGGTGTCTTCAGGCCGTTTAGAGTCTGAGGTCCTGACTAAATGACAGGCATCTACTAATCCTGGTTTGAAATGGTCCTGGCAATAGTCACAATTATTTGTGCCCATAAACATAAGTAAAAATGTCACATATTATTATTATTAATAATAATAATATGTGACAGTGTAATAATATTAATAATAATAATAATCAGTATTTAAAAATCCAAACATTTCAGTCAATAAATGAGGAAAGGTTATACATACAGGGGTATTTCTCTAATCTTCTTATAAATCTGCTCAGTGAATTTGTACTTCAGAGAAGCAGCATTTTTTAAAATTGGGCTCAGCAGTGTGCCAGGAAATTCTGAGCGTGGTTTTGTGCCAATTATTATTTTCATATTTTCTGTAATTTAAATGTTAAAAGTATCTGTTCCTTTCATAGATCAAATATTTAGACATTGAGGGTAGAATTTGCAAAAGCTCTTAATATTCATTTGCTACGATCCTATTAAAACCAATAATAAACCTCTGGTTTATGCAAGAAACAACATTAAAACACTACCAAGTAGTTCTGAAAATCATACTTGCCAATTGGTTTACATTTGCCTGACAAAAATCTGTGGGTGCATGATTGTACACCTAAGTAAAACAGACTAGATTAAAACTAAAACCATTATAAGCCATGTTATGCATTGGAGAAATATGCAGCATACGAGCTGTTATCCACTGACCTTTGATGTAAAAATATAAACTTTTAAATCAAAACCATAACATGTACTTTTTAATTATATCCTTTCCCCCCATTAGTGCTGAGATACAATATGCAGCCTTATGTAAGAAAATATTCTACTGTGAGAAGTAAAAAGATTATCAGTATTAACTAATAATCAAGCTGCCAGGCTGTTATTGAAGGACACAGTTTGCTGATGACTTGAATTATAATCTAAGCAAGTATTTCATCTTTTAGTGTCCCAGTAAGAGCCCTGTTTGGTGTTTTTTTTTTTTTTGTGACAGACAAGCTCCCTCCCCATGCGCTCCTTACAGTTCTGCCAAGCAGCAAGGAATAACATAGATGAATCTTCTGCCTCACTATCCCAAAGCCACCAGAGCAACTATACCTGGATTTACTGACAACCAAGAAATAATCTTAAACCCTATAAAAAGGGAATCCAGAGTTATTTCAGTTTTCTATTTTTGTTTTTGAGGTATCCTTACTGTGACAATTTGAATAGGAAAGTGGCAAACAGCAGGTAAAACACCTCTTAAGCAGGTCTGTTCCCCTCCAATGGACTCACACAACACAACTGTGTTGTGTATTATGAGTAGATGAAGTCAGAGTCAGACTAAGTCAGAGCTAACAAGTCAGAGTTTGTGTGTACAGCCTCCCATTTTGAGAAAGAAACATTTGAGAATTAATACAACTTTTGAATGTTATTCTTTACACATCCTTTCCTCAGCAGACAGGGAAAGAAACCATATGGATGGGGCACATTCCCAGCTAGCACTGCAGCGCTCCCTGTTTGCCTAAACAGTCATATATGTAGCCCAATTTTCTCACCCGCAAATGTGCAAACACCCAACTAGTGGGGACAAAATCTGCCTCAGCAGAAGACAGAATCTTTCCTTCTCCCCCGTTGTGCATAAGGAGAGCAGATGTCTCCTGCACAGTCCTTCTTCTGGGCAACAGCAGGCAGAGCAGAGCTGTGGTGCTGGCCCTTGCTCAGGGGAGGCAGCTGGTGGAGGAACAAGGACATATCAACAACAGAAAGGCTGGCAAAGCTTTGGAGTTATAGAGAAAGCCTCAGCTTTCTCAGCCTTAGCAGCAGGGCCCCAGCAACTCTTTCAGCTTCAGTGTCTTAAAAGCTACAATCTGACCCTAAATTACAGGCAGAGTTCCGGTGAGCTCCTCTGGCTACTCAGAGCAGCCTGGAGAGGAATACACACAAAACAACAAAAACTCCACAGTCTCTGTCCTGGACCTCCAAGCATGTATTTAACTATTATTTACCATTTAATCAAGTCATTACTGTCTAATTTACTTTGAGAATGTGTTTTCCTCTCATTAAAACTGTTGCAATGACTGCTGCCAAAAGTCTACCCACCAGTGTTCTACACTCCT